CGACTCTTTTCTCGCATGAAAAGTGTATTGAAATAGCGACGTCTGCTAGCGCCACATGGGTTTATTCCTCGTACTACGACCGTTCTACTATAGACACATGTAAACTATTTATTTTTTAAATTGACTACGTCACGAATTTCTAGCACCCGCAAATAGTATACTTGTGTGTTATTTGTACAAAATAAAAATGTATAAAAATACAATTAATGTTTTTGTTTACTTTTCATGCTTAGATACCTTCTTTATACTCCCTAATTTGTGGGTCAATTTGATGTAAACAAACGCTCGATGCGAACACAACCGCCATTAATTCGAAAGCTCTGCGTTACGCCCAGACGTAGCTAACCGATATAGCGAACATCTGCGGTAAACTAGGCATTCGCAAAATTATTGTGGCAGCCATGGAAATGCCTTGTAAACTTAAGCGGGAGTTTCTCATATAAACTTCTTTCTGCCTTTTTCTCCTTCGTTTTCTTTCCGATGCACTGGCCTGCCCGCCATTGTTTATCGTTTAGTTGATATCGCGTGAAGGCGGATGTCGCAAACATTTTTGTTGGCAGAAATTAAAAAAACACAAATAGCATTTCGCAGTTTTAATAATAATTTTTTCAAACATAATACACATGAACATATATTGTTTATTTTTCCTATATTCTATGTTCTATATAGCTAACACAAATCAAAACAGAAACTGTTTATAGGACGCCAGTAAATAGTGTTCTAGACTGTAAATAGTATTACGACAGTATTATTGACAGTAATTCAAATCGTCATTCAAAATTTAACCAACGTAAAAACATTCTTATCAGGTGATAGTTTGAGGATATATTTAGTAACGTTAGTACTAACTTTTAATGTAAAAAAAATTACAAAAGTAAGGTTACAACTATAACTTTTAGGAGATTCGTGACGTATATTCAGTTTAACGGTAATATAGCGCCATTGAAAATATTTGTAAGCGAGCTTAAAATTCGTATTATGTAAGTATAGTCTTTCAGCGGCCGACTAATCCCCATACACTTGGAATTAGAATATCGATGTATGGTCATTGCACGGTTTTTAGAAAGCGTCTTGTGATTTAATGTTCCTGGACACCAGCTCCGCACGTGGCGTGACTGTATGTGAACGTTAGAGGGATATGTCACGTAGACATTACCGTTTATCACAATAAAAACGTTCGTAGAGGCACCTAGAAATTCGTAGAGGCACCAGTCGCTAGCAATTAATTTACACTGTGTTTACACGGTTATGCTGAGATAGCCCAATGACGAATTAGAAGGGTTGGAGATTGTGTACTAGCATTAAACGCGCACTCTAGCAATATGCCATGCCAGGAGCAGGCCTACGGCATACCACAATTTGGCTTTTTTAGTCCTATGCGTAACCGATCTTTTTTCCTAAAACGTTCCTCTCTATCTCCATGATTTCCCTGTTTAAAATATCACGATAATTTGTTCCAGATTGATGGAAATCCCAAATCATGATCAAAAATTGTAGCTCAGAGCAATAATCAACACAACGCAAGGACTGTCTCAATTTCCAGCGCCACCTATATATTTCCAATCGCCCAAGAAATAACATCTTCGTACACCGATAAATAACAAGCCCAAAGTAGGCTATAAATTAATCGTATGCACCTACAAAGCAAAGAAACGCACCCATAGTTTTCGGTGTTTAGATTTATGGTATACGTCGCCTGAGTGCGGCCAAACATTGCTGGAAGGATTGATTATAGTTACCGATTCTGTAACTTCATGTTTTAACCGGACCAGTGGTATTTTCGAAGCGATAATGCAAGAATTATTGATTACTACATGGCACATTATGAGCTAGGAGTACATAGATACATGTACTAATCACAGCTTCATTAGCTAGCAAAAAAATGAACTTTTCCTTTATTATTATAACGAATTTGCAAGGTATTCGCATTTGTTAAAGTCAGTATACGCAGCTATATAATATGTACACATTATAACCGTGAATAATACGCATATATCACATTAGTCGTTCATCATTTTCACAAGCAGATACGCAGTAGCGTACGCGTAAGCGTTTTTACGCTTAGCATAACGAAACGTTTGGTGTGAATGTGGTGAGGACTTGTTATTATTTACGTAAACCTTTAGAGTTGGGCTACGTTTTACTAAACCCAACGCTGTACAGATAACCGTTTAATTAGGCTTAGATCAATCAGTGTTTTATTGTCTCAGATTTTGTTATTTGGTTTGTGATCGCGCTGTCCAGAAGGACACCTAACACCGTGTTTCCCTGGCGGGCCGTCTATGCACTGATTGCGAAATCCTCTTGCCATCGACCGTTGTACATCTACCAGTCACACTCCTCCTTAGTGATTACGTCACAAATTTCTAGCACCATCAAGTAGTATATTTGTGTGTTATTTGTACAAAATAAAATGTATGAAAATACAATTAGTGTTTCTGTTTACTTTTCATGCTTATATACCTTCTTTATATGCCCTAATTTGCCGGTGAAAAAATAGAGAGACGCCAGTATCTGAACAGTACTGGGGGAATAGTGTTAGACAACAGAAATTACCAAATCGTCTGGATTTTTGCAAATTTAACCAACGTAAAAACATTTTTATCAGGTGAGAGTTTGAGGATATATTTAATAACGTTAGTTCTTACTTTTAATGCAGAAAAATGTCAATTTTTGTTTACAAATTTTACCATGGAAAATTCGTGACGTAGTCAATTTAACTTTACAGTTTTTATAATTGTCCCCCTCTCATAAATGCTCCAATATGCAACATTTATGTAACGGGTCCATATGTGTTTAATTCATACACTCGTTCACGTGTTTCTTAAATTTATGTCATCGTGTGTATAATGCAAACAACTACAAAGTGACGCGAAGCGGCAACCTTGGAATCGGCGTAGATCTCGTTCCCAGAGTAGGTACTGCGCGCGCAGAGTAAATGATCCGTACATTTACAAAAGTTTGCAACGCTAACCGAACGTCACTGCGGACATTGACCAATCAGCGGCACATTACTACCGTTGCGTGCGATTCGCTAGGTGTGTTTAAGCCAAATGAACGTAGGCCGCGTGAAACGAAACATAAGGAAATTGCAATAGTAAGTGCGAAACATCAGAGAGTGGCTCGATATAGGATATACCGCTCGGCGCAACATTTGGACCACAGACGCAGAGAGACGCGGGGGCTGTTTCGAAATCCTATGCTATATTAAGATAGACCGCTCATGGGTGAAATTAAACGGAAACCACATCGGAAATGAAACGTTTAATCACATTTTTGCCCCATATATCCAGTTATGAGGCACGCCACAGTAAATTAATGCACTATATCTTTTGGATTTATATTAGTCTAGCAGCTTCAAATGTCTTCACCAGCCGGTTAGATTCATGAATCATCAAAAGCATTAGCAGAAGTCGACGACATGCCATATGCCTGAAGCCAATACACCACACACACACACACACACACACAGACACACACACACACACACACACACACACACACACACACACACACACACGACACG